ACATAGTTGGCACCTGCATTCTTAATAGAATTATTGATAAAATTCTTATTTAGCGAGATGGCTAATGTCTTTTTGTCCTTCAATATCAATCTTTCTTCACCGATTAGCTCAAGATCATTACTCGAAAATTCTTCCGAAAGCTCCCAATTCAGAATCAAACTTACCCAAGACTTTACCAAATTAGCTTCAATTTTAACAAGCATTGACTTTATAACTAAATCATCCAGTCTTATGGAACCCAAATATAACAACACCAATTTTTCTAATAAAAGGGATGTAGAATTCTTACCTGGATTCATGAAGAATAAGTTAGATAAAATTAAGGCCGATTCAAATCTCGAACGCATATTTGCATATGATGGTAGACTATTCAATATAATAAATTCATTGTTGACGAAAATTTGCAACAATTTTTCGTATTGGACCTGCTTGATATTTTTGACAGACATTAATACACAATTCACAAATTCTAAAACATTAGAATCCAAAACCCAGTCTTTGTGGTTTAATATCACTTCCAATTGAGTATTGATAACTGCAACCGGCACTAATTCCCATATAGACGAAGATACTGAGGGTACTAATTTAATAATATTTTTGATTTCATTCAAAAACTTAATGAAGTTATCAGATAGTTCAATTATTTCGGCAAACTTCTTGGTAATAAAAAGCATAGACTTGTGTAACCATAACCTTATTTCATCACTTAGATTTGCGTTGGCTTTAATCATTTGATAAATTAGATTTCCGAACTCGGGACTTAAACTCTTTTTGAAACCATTTGCCTCAACATAGGTGAAAACTTGATTGATTAAATCCAGTTTCTGCTCGTTGGAAACAGAATTACTATTCACACTACTAGCCAAAATATCTAATAAGTTGTTCCAGCTTAACTTAGATTCAAAGCTTCCTTCCTTTAACAATTTCAATGCAATTTCTGTAACTTTGTTCAAAAAGTCTAAAAGCTTTTGGTCTTCGAAATCTAAGAATGATAAAGATAAAGAAATTGAATAGCCAATGAAACATAAAAGGAATTCATCCTTTATTAAACCATCATTAGACTTTTCAATTAAGTAATGTATTATTTCGTTCTTTTTAATTAAATCTTCAGTATTAATGAAAGATTTCAATAAATAATAATTTGATTCATTTTGCAAAATGATGTCAATTTGCCTGAATAATTCATCATTCTCAAAAAAGACCAAGTTTGTTTCAATCAAGTTGCTTAATATCGATCTCTTTTCAATCTCATATTCGCTCAGTTTAGGTAATCCTAAACCAAGCAAGTTATCAAAGTTATCAAAACTCATTGAGATAGATCTTTGCATCGATATTTCATATAATCTTGTTACAAGAAGCGTATTCTTGGGTTCAGTAGTATTAATCAATTTAATAATCTGATCATTTGCAAGAGCCCAATTGAACTTTCCAATAAAATTTTGATTTTCAACAGCCATGGCCTTGGAGGATTCGAATAAATTGAAGAATAATGAGTTCAATTCATTGTAATTCAGGTATTTGGAATTATTCATATCAAAACATTCCTGAGGCAATTGCTGAAATACTTCATTAAGTAAATTCCCTACAAATATAACTCTCTTTGGTAATGGAACTGTTAAATCAATTTCTTGACCAAAAATTAGATCTTGCCAAAACCTTTTCGCTAAGATGAACTTAACCATTAACAAATCTCCTGGGATAACTGTGACTAAGTAGTTACCTAGTTTAGAAACCAAATCAATGAGAACATCGTCAATTTTCGTAAGGTTTTCATCATGAATAATTAATTTCAATCTTGTAAACAAGCCTGCAAAGTCAAAGTTTGAAATTGGAAATCTCTTCAAAAGTATATTAGCTTTTGCAATTAAACCAGCGTTGGATGTATTAACAAGTAATTCTAAATAGGAAGAATCTTCTTTGACGTTGTCAGTACCTGTAAAGTCTATCATACGTGTCAATTGGTTGGTATTTACAACATCAGCAAATTTCTTGTCACATATCAAATATTCTTCAAGCAAAGTATGAATAGCCTCTTTTGGTTCACCGATAACAACCACGTACTTTAAAAAGTTAAATAGCCATTCAACAATATCTTTTAATTCCCTCAGATTAATAGTAGAGTCATTGAGAATAAATTTGAATTGTTCAAAAAGTACAACAATAAATAAACTAATATCACTAAAATTGGTATGAGACAAGTCAAGATACTTATACGGCGACTTAACTGATCTGGAAATAACTTCATCCAATAAATTCCAGATTTTAGTAGATGGATCTGAACCTTTAAACAGATGGATCAATGCTAATATTGGAGAGATAATTAAGTCTTTGTTGAAAATTATTGTTTTTTGTGTTAACTTGTTTAACAATCCATAAAACTTCCAAATAAAGGATTCATCGATTTTACTGTTTACTGAAAGTTTAATTAAACATGTGAAAAAGGAGTTACCGTTAATAGATTTGTTCCACCATTTTAGATCATTCTCTTGTTGTTGATTCGACTGAATTGAAAGATAATTATCTAATAATGATAGATTATAGCCAGAATTATTCAATAACTGATTGTCATTAATAAATTCATTAATTTCGCTACTGACAAATTTATTTAATGCTTGAGACGAAGTTGGATAAATTAATTGGTATTGATTTATAATCATTGTCAACGTTATTTTAAGCAACCTCATATCACTCTTTTCTGGGAAAGATTTATTGATCGTAAGTAAAAGTTGAACTAATGCATTGAAATCTGGCAAATTATTAAAGACCAACTCAATCAATTCTTGTTTATTGGCATTATTATTTTGAATGAAGAAATTCGACGATAATACCTTGTTTAACTTAATCAATGTGAACATTATTAATTGGCAAGACAATTGTGTAATTAAATGGTGCTTTGATTCAAGGCATTTATTTAATGAATTCTTAGATAACGGTGCTAAACTGATGTTTTCTAGGACAATCTTATTATTCAATTTTGCGTCCGATGAAAGGTTAGGAATTGGCAAGCAAAGAATTTCTTTGAAGAGTAATGTATGCCCTATCCACCAAGATGTAAGTGAAGGGTCATGGTATCCACCACCATTCTGTATTAACCAATTCATATATGGTGCTACCAATTCTATATTTGCAGATAATATGTTCTTTACTAATTGTAATTGGACGTGAGTCTCCCATGGCTTCAAACTAGTCAAAAATGTATATAGCAATTTATTATTGATTCTGAAAGTTTTGTTGTTGATGTTTATTGGAATTCCATTATCTGTAGATGATTGCCAGAGTTTAAAATTAGGATAATTCAAACCATTCGTAAAATCTGTAGAAAGTCTAGTCAATAAATTAATAAAGGTTTTAGAAAACTCATCATTATTAATGCTACTCAATCTGTTAAATATCAATTGAATTTTAAAGATGAAATTTTCGTTTAAAATTTTACATTTTGTTGACTTTTTAAAGTTCGATTCATCCAAAATTTTTGAATCAATAAACTCGAAAATATTCAACAAAACAGGTACAGAGTCAATTTCAAACATGTGCTTCCAAAGATTATTCATTATTTTGTGATTATTAATTAATAAATCTTTTCTTATAAAACTGGAAACCTTTGAATTCAAATTAATCCAGAATTTAATAAAATTGTATCTTATTAACAGATGAGTATTATCAGGCTTGTCCTTAAACTGGCTGTATTTTTCAATATCAATCTTCGATGGAACCAATAATTTAGGTAATGTTGATAAACTCATGTCAAACTTGTCCAAGAACTCATTGGTTAATCCATTATCAAAACTAATTAAGTTACTCAAAATATTTAACATTGAGTTTGCTAGTAAAGGTTTACCACTATTCAAGCCCCTGTATACATACTTCAAATCATTATTCAAAATGTGTTGATAATAGTCAACCAATAATGGCTTTAAATCACTGGTGTTATAGTCTCGAATCAAATTGGAAGTCTTTGATAATTTGATAGATATATCCGTGAATTGACTATGGTCATTGATAGACGCATAGTACGACCAGTTAGTTAACACTTTTAACAATGCTCCCCCCTGAATAAATCTTGTGAGCTCTGTCTTATCGTGAGACGAAATAATAGTTGATAATCTAACTAGAACAGAACTGTCTATATTAACATTATGGCGGGCTGCATCCTTTTTATTGGGTTTAATTTCAGTCATTGTTGAGTAGACGATCCTACGTGGTTGACCTTGTTATTTCGATCGTTAACGTGGTCTTTCCTTGAACTGTAACCAAATCGTTGAGTAGACCTGAAAAGTTAAAGCCATAGAGATGATTTAAATTTTATGATATGAAAAAAAATTGTGACACAAAATTGTACGCTCGATGAGTTGACTATAACGATGCCATGGATGCGAGAGAATGTTTCAAGCACCAGCAAGTTAAGTTAGTCTTTTATCTATAAATCCTTAAAGATGCATGCCGGTCATGGGACAGCCGTTGCAGGGTATAAGAACTCCAACAATTCCCATCAATATCTCCAGCTCATCGCCTCTCCGCTTCACAGCCAAACAATCAAACCGACTAATCATTTCCGATTACTTTTTAATTGAATTGCCCCACGACAATTCTCTTTCATTCAATTTAGCTACAATCGATCCAGCTTATATTCTTCATTCTCATAATAACTTTAAATGCTTATATTCTTATAACCCAAAAAAATAATTTATCGGCTTCATCCGGCGACACCTCAACATATAAGCCCATACCAACGCTCCGCTACGACACTGTCTAACAGCTTGATAGCTCCCCTCGGACTTATCGATCTCTATTGTCGACATTTAGCAGAAGGCTATCGTTATCCATTGGATGATGCAATGCATGTATAACAAGCTATCCAACGGTACTTTAATGGAAGAATAGCTGATCCACTTAATGATCTTTTTCACGACGTTGGCGACACAGGCAACTATTTTGGTAGTCCATCAATTATAAGACCCCCATTAGGTCAACGAAGAATAATACAGCCTGATATAATTCATATGATAAAAAAACAGTATTTGGGTATGCAATATCCAGAAATTGTTTTCGGGATTGGCGATTATAAAACGGAATCCTATAAGATGACGGAAGGATTTGAAGAATTAAAGGTAACTATAGAGCGTCATACCCAAAGTTTCTCGAACCGAAGAAGATTGAGGCTGCAATTCAGTGGGAACTTTTTTCCAGCTAAGGAGTGGACGCCTAGGGAATTATTTGCTTTGGTTCTAAGGAAATATATATAACCAAGCTTTCCTCTGTGGAACCGACAGGATTTTTATTTCAGATCACCAAACATTCTCAGGGTTCTTTAAGTATGGATAACAAAATGACTATAGATTACTATGTCATTAATGATCCAGAAACTGTGGAGCATGGTATTACTTTGAGGTCAATAGCGGGATTTTTCTATAAGAATGAGGCTGATTCGATTGATACAAAGGGCAGGTTGAAGAAGACTTTCGAGTTGGCAAGAAAAACTGAAGAACTGGATCCATTTCTGAACGTAAATTTCCTTATGGATGTTCGGGATAATTGTTAGACAGTGGTGTTTCAAGCAAGTTAGATCCGGTAAAAAAAATGACGATAGTGATAACTTTGATGCCATTGATGGTAACACATATTGTCTTGGGTTTTTCGAGTTTCAAGTTGGAAATTCATGTGCTTTGGCGTTGAATGGTCACAAGATGATAAGCACAAGAGCATATACAAATATTTTAGCAGTAGTTTGCTAATGGAAAGCCAAAATTTGCAATATTTCCAGATTCTTAGCAAAGTTTGCAGTTTTTATTATTTCTTGCGGAAATTCAAAAAACCTTCAATTTTAACTTTTACAATCTTTTTTCTAAAGGTAAGATACCCCACAAGTTGCTCTTCTTGCGGTGTGAATTGTACGATCCATCGATGAAGAATTGATGCGCTAGTAGGTTAGCAGTCCCATAAACTAGTTTCTATAATTTGACTTAATGTGCCTTACGACTAACAACGTTTCGCAGCCACTGGGTCAGTGTTGTACAATGACATAGCTTAATAATAACTGCTCAAGCGAACATATAGTACAGGCTTCTTACTAAAATTAAATGCCCAGCTTGAGAATATTACAAATTTCTAATGATTAGGATACAAAGGATTCACTTTCTCATTTAGTGTGCACATTAGCGACTTCTATAGAGCTTAAGCATCATCACGCTCGTAAGATTACGAGAAAAACCTACGCTTCTTGCAACATAATTATAGAGCACGATACAATTTTCAAATATTAAGTCTTATCCAAAGTGACCGTTTGAATCGCTTTTACAATTGGCTACTATTGGTAAAAGTTCTATGGAAATATGAAGAATCAATACTGAAAGTCTTTCTCGGTTGCTTCTTGAATCAGCATATCCGTACTTGAATGAGCATATTTGTGGTTGTTTCTTGGAATCAAGATGTTCCAAGAAAAATACGAGTGAAATACGAAAAATTGAGCATTATGGAAAAAAATTGCGTTCAACCTTGTTACTCTTGTCAGCATTATATAATGACAAGAAATTACTAAAAGAAAATGATGACAAGACATTAAGAAAAGAAAATGGGACTTTATTTTTGTAATTAGGAAAAGTGGCAGCCCCATATTTAAAATATTAAAGGTATTTAATACATCTAGTTCGTATTAGAAGTAAACCAGCTGAAACTATTTTACTTCCAATTTAAAGACTATTAATGGTTTGTAGGAAAATCATATCTCCAAATTTTAGTAATGTATTAAATGATCTTTCTATAATTGACAAACTATTGCCACTCTTGATTATTTCTGCTATGGTATTAGGGATCCTATTGTCTGTATATGTACCTTCCAGCAGAGATGCATTTGACGGTGCTAAGGTTATTGGCGTATCGGTACCATTAGCAATTGGGCTTATGATTATGATGATTCCCCCGTTATGCGGTGTTAGATGGGAAATATTCTTAAGCTTTCATGAAATGAAGAACTATGTACGACCAATATCAATATCGTTGATTGTAAATTGGATCGTTTGTCCGTTCTTGATGCTAGGTCTTGCATGGCTTTCGTTATTTGACAAGGATGAATATAGAACCGGAATAATTATGATAGGGTTAGCAAGATGTATTGCCATGGTTTTAATCTGGAATAAAATTGCTGACGGTGATAATAGTTTAGGTGCTGTTATCGTTCTCGTCAACAGTTTGCTTCGAATAGTTCTTTATGCACCTTATCAAATTTTTTTTTGTTATGTTATTTCCGGCGATTATCATTCTAGTGCTGTTACAGCGGGTATCTCGTATCCGTTGGTCGCGCAAAGTGTTGCTTTCTTTTTAGGCATTCCTTTAGGAATTGGCTTTTTAATAAGGTCTGTTGCTTCATACACTATTGGCATAGAGGCTTATGAATCTAAAATTTATCCATTTATTGAACCATGGGCGCTAATAGGATTGTTGTATACTATTATTGTCATCTTCATTAAGAAAGGTAATGATTTTATTCATGATATAGGTTCCGCTATCCGCTGTTTGGTACCATCAATTCTCTATTTCATAATTACCTGGTTTGGTACCTTCTTCGTTTTGAGATGGTACTTGGGACGGGGGCGACCAGTAAATGAGGATGGAAATGCATTATTTGACGAACAACTTCTGAATGCTTCTGGAAAGTGGGTTTCAAATGGTTCAGCAAGATATTCTGAAGTTATAACACAAGCTTTCACCGCTTCTTCAAATAACTTCGAGTTGAGTATTGCTATCGCTATTTCACTATATGGAACGGATAGCAAAGAGGTCATCGCTACAACATTTGGGCCTTTGTTGGAGGTTCCTATATTATTGTTCTTATGCTTTGTGGCCAAATATTTCAAAATTAAATTTTTATGGGTAGATGTTGATAGCGGTAATACAGAAGAGGTGCAATTAGAAAACTGTAATAATAAGGATATATCGATAGCAACTTCTATCCAAAATATTTAATGTTGCGTAGTGGGTTAGTAATGCGCTCCGATAGCAGGTGTTATATCATAACTTAATATAATGTCAATCTATGAAGCCTGTAATAAAAACAGTTTTCTTGGACAGACTCGCAGAAGATTCCAGTGTGAAATGATTCGGATGCATTGTCGTGTTCTAGTAGCCTAGTCGTAAACACTCTTAATATAAGCATAATTTAAGTATTCAACAAACAAAAAAGAATGGATGGTAAGTAAGTTAATGAAAATAGAATGCCATGAAATGGAATACTAAGACTAAATTTCAAACCAGTTTTGAAAGTGGCCTAACAAATTATTTTAATTCTTTGTATGATTGCAAAAGAGCTGAATATGTAGCGACGGAAGCTCCTAACTACGCTTCAATTGAATACGAGTTCTTGATCTATCAGAACAATTGTTTAGAAGACGAATGTCGTGGTTGTCTAGAAGTAAACTGGTACGAATGAGGTATGAATTGGGCATTGATCTACGCACTTTTCGCGTTCCAATAGGCGACTTCAGATGGCCTGGGTTACATAAAAAATAACAGGTTATTTGCTCGTATACCTGATGTTGAATAAGGGAGAACAAACATAGCGCATACGCGACTTGACCGTTATTAGCTTCGTTTCAAGAAATGGCGTCGCTGACACTTCAATATCCATCTCCTCCTAGTGAAACAGATCTTTCAGTCATCTATTTGCCCATTCTACAGTTGGAACGGTTTGATACTTCGTTGTAAACCACGTAAAACCGACGTGCATACAATTTGGAGATCTTGAAACATACCCCTATACCTAATACGAGTTAACGGTATGTCGGCCGTAAGATAGTATCACCATAGTAATTTGCGTGCGCACAACCCCAATACATCCTCGACTATGTATGGGGATGAAAATATGGCTTTGAACTGTACTACAGATCAATGAAACTCAAAAATACTGCCAAATAATAGAATTTGATAGAGTTTGTGGGGCAAAGTGCCTGTGGCAACCAAACTACACGATTAATATTGTCGTGGCGATAGTTTAATTGCGTTCCCAGGGGCACCAAGCCACATTTGTTCGCACCCATTTGAGCACGACCATTGGTGATCATTGGCTCGTTGAATTTCCCATAGACCAAACAATTACCACCCTTTTCTCACAATTATCTGGTCGCATAGTAGATTATGGTACATATCGGAGTTTGCTAATTAGTTTATATACACGCACGTCTATAGTATTTACCATATACGGTTAGGATTGGACCGCAACTATCACCATGAGCCCACTTGCTCATCATGTGCTCGTCGATACACCTACCCAAGTAGGTATCTGTGGAATCGTGTATCTAATATGCAAGTTAGTCACTCCAGTCTTTTGATCTTATTGCGCTCATTCGTAATACCTCTACTAACCTACTACATAACCTACTGATATATACTACCCTAGTCATTACCAGGATAACCTATTAGTCCCCATACCCTTCTCCTTGTTAACTAAATATAGATGGCTGACTGCGAACTATCTTGCGCTTACGAATGCTTCTGTGCCCGATCCTATTCTATAAATATCTGCAATCACCTGTTACATCTTTTTTCCCAGTGGAGTACTATTGCACCCCATTCGTTCTCTATTAGTGTTTCCTCATGCGTCGCACAAACCCTTATTATCCCGTCTCGATCTGTAATTATCTATTGTGCTATATTCTCTATTGTTTCTATTTATGCTCACCAAATATTTTTTAATATACTGAAGTATTCGAACGTATAATATGTGGAGACATTCTCACCTTCACTCTAAGTCTTCACTCTATATCTTCTACCTCTAACTAGAGGTAACTCTGTGTTTATATTACTATCACCATCTACATCTATATTCCTTGCATCTCCTACGTCTAACATACTGTTTCGTCTATACTTTCTCCATCGCCACCTCAAACAAGTTTATACCCGCAGCATTCCCCGTATTATCCGCTGATCACTTTACGTAACGAACCATCGTATGCATTCGACAAGTCCTTTACAATTATGATGTAATAATGGTAAACATGACACAAAAATATTATAAAAAAATTGCGTGGTTCCCCTCTCCCAATTATATATATATGGCCAAAAAGACCATAATAATAACGGAGAATCAGGAAAAACAACCATGACTCTAATACTGGTATGTATCCAATTTTGATATATTTTGGTCAAATGGGGTTCGGCGAGGGATGAAGGAGTGTAAATTGATGTATTTCAAGGATATACTTTGAAATATGGGGAATCAAAACCAATGTCGGTATCGGAACGATTTTACTAACCCAGCGGCAGAATCTTAGGAAGCTTTTTTCAGATAGAAATGAAATAACAGCGAAGTTAGATATGGGAGATATGGTAAACGAAAAGAGAAGCGGCGAGGTGGGTGAAAAGGAGAAAAATAAGAATGGCCAATATGGTAGTCAGAACGGAGGTTCGGCGGTCAAGATGAGCATGGGAGACGGCGCAGAAGAAGAAGAAGAAGAAGAAGATGGGATTCTGTATGGCGATTTACCGGCTGAATATCGGTTGGTGCATAAACTTGGAGAAGGGGCATTTTCGGCGGTGTACAAAGCGGTGTACGAACCCACCGGACGTCTGGTAGCCATCAAAATCATCAACAAAGCCAACTTATCTGGGAAACAAATAGCCAACATCAACAACGAAATCAACATCATGAAGCGCTTGAGCCACCCCAATGTGCTCCGGTTGGTGGACCTGTTCAACAACGACGTGCATTGCTATATTGTGTTGGAGTACTGCGACGGGGGCGAGATATTCAACAAGATCATCGAGTATACTTACTTCAGCGAGGACTTGTCGAGATTTATATTTTCACAGCTCTTGTCGTCGGTAGACTACTTGCATTCGATCGATATCGCACACCGGGACATAAAACCGGAGAATTTGCTTTTCAATACCATTCCTTATAACGAACGGTCCGTCGAAGAGTTTGAAAAGCACAAGCGGGCCTCCGATGACAATACTAAAGTTGACGAAGGCGAATTTGTGGGTGGAGTCGGCGGCGGTGGCATTGGAATAATCAAGTTGGCTGACTTCGGATTGGCAAAGCAGCTCAGGCCTTCCAACACCATGGGCTCCAACTTGAAAACTCCATGCGGTACAGCTGGCTATACTGCTCCTGAGGTCATTACCTGCAATGGTACCAAAATGAAAAGGTTCCCTAACAAACAATCCCAGAGGCACTTTTATTCCAAAGCTGTCGATATCTGGTCGTTAGGGTGTTTTCTTTACACTATACTATGTGGATTTCCACCATTTTATGATGATGACCATCACCAGTTAACTATGAAGATTTTGAACGGTGATTATGTTTTCTTGAAGCCTTGGTGGGATGAGGTTAGCTTAGACGCTAAGGATTTAATTTGTAAGATGTTGACTATCAATCCTGATGATAGAATCACCATTAAGGAAATCTGGAATCATCCATGGATAAAGGATTGCTATGGCCCACAATCGCCTAGTTATTTTGATTCATGTGATGCTGAGCATGTAGAATATTCTGGTGAAACCGATCATCTCAAGCCAATGGATATCACTAGTAATGGGTCTAATAGTCATTTCAATGCTGACTTGATGTCTCCTAGAGCAGAAGCCATCAAGAAGGTATTCAACAACCCGGCAATGTCCAATTCAAGAACAAGTAAATTCAATCAGCCAGCTTCATCGGTGCAGTTTACTATAGACGACTTGCAAGACTTGCTGATCCACGACAAGAAGACATTACCTAAGAGCCCTCTTCCAGCCAAAAAGGAAATCAGTAAATTTGCGTTCAAAGATGTGTTTGATGGCAACAAGACTGTGATTAATGAGAATGATGAATACGAGGAAGTTTCAGAAGATTCAGAAGACTCGATCGACGATCTAGATGAAAGCAGCGATGAATTGCACGACGAGTTGACCAGTCTTGACAAATTCTCCGTTAAGCAACTTGAAAGTCAACGGTCATCAATAAAATCAAATTCGTCTGATGACGAAAATTCTCTTCATGATGATTACAATGAAGATTATCAAACACGGTCTAGTTCGATTATTAGTGGTATCAATGGCGACTACAAGTTTACATTGAATTTAAATGACTCAAATTTGTTGAGAAGAAGATCTTCAACTGTGAAATCAAACAAATCCTTGGTAACTGAGTGATTCGTCCCTTATCTGTATCTGGATCTACTCATACCTGGTGTAGGGGGATCCTAGAATCGGGAAATATATTCAATAGCTTTTATTGATGTAAAATGTAAAGTAATGTGTGATATATCATTGTCATTTGCATGCATGTTGAATATGTATATATTTTTGTATATTTATTATGGTTGAGGTTCATTTCTTGTGTATTATCTATTATGTGTGGTTTAATATATTTAGTTAAATTTTACTTAATGAGTAGAGTAAGTTCGTACTATTTGACTCAAAAATCTTTTTCATTTTTATTCATATAAATAACAGAGAATTATAAATTTTCGGGTGGCAAGATAATATTAACCGTATATACAATTAGCTTCTTTCGTTTGGTTGAATATTAGCAGATGTTGTCTCTCCTTCTTCTTCAGGGATTAAACATTCGTTAGCTTCTAATAAATCGCTTAACTCACCTGATTGTGCCATGGACATGACAATATCACATCCACCAACAAATTCTTTGTTAACGTACAACTGAGGAATAGTTGGCCATTCACTGTATTCTTTAATTCCATCTCTTAATTCGGGATCCTCCAATACGTTGTAAGCAGCAAACTTTTCTGGATCCACACCTTGTTGACCCAACATTTGAATAGTAGCTCTTGAGAAGCCACATTGTGGAAATTCAGGAGTACCCTTCATAAACAAGACAACCTTTGAGCTCCCCACAGCCCTATCGATAGCATCTTTAATTTCGGTTGAAATGAATCTACCTTGCTGAATAAAAGGAGTTCTGATTATTGGTTGCGCCTTAAAATTTTTTAGTTAGTATTAATTCAAGTAATAAACGACGTGAATAAGCTATACTTACGAACCTGGTATTGAATAAAGCTCTTCTGAACATTTTATGTGTAGCGTATTGTAGAATAGTTAAAAGTTCATCTTATATTTTATTTTTATTCGATTACTCATCTAAAGTTTATACAGGCCTAATTGGCTGATACTATTAACCAAACTAAGAGACGCTTATAACCTCTAATTAATGTACATTCACACTAAACCCAACAGAATTAGGCTAAACGGTTATTACAGTTGAATAAATTGGATAATTAATCTTCAAGGTATTGTATATCCAAATTAGAAGCTTTATATGTATTCTTTATAGCATGATAAGGTTGCAAATTCAAAGTCTAACATAAGCTAGCAGTATCTTTTATTATCGTTCAATTATTATGTTTATTATAAATAAATTATTAATTATTAAAAGTGTTTAGTATAAAACATATAAAATTCTAAACGTAAAGCTTTACCCTGGCGTAGGCTGATCCTATTGCAACCAATCTATAAATTATTAAACAGGCAACCAATCCACCAAAATAAGCACCTAAATTAATGTCCAAGTCGTAGTATTGTAAGACGTTATCACCAGTATCCAATGTACAAGTACCTAAAGCACATTCGAATTGTTGATTCTCGAAACCTAATTTTGCACAAATTCCAACCGCATATTTCATTGGATTGATATAATTCCATGCTTTGAAAAACTCTGGCATATGCAACGACATAGTACCTCCCATGAAGATAGCAATAACAATCACAGAAGCTAAAATATTAATGGCTAATCCGAGATGTGTGAAAATACTTGAAACAAGTATTCCCAATGATTCTCCACAATTAATCGCTGCAACACCAGTAAAGAACATACTGAAAAACATTCCGGCTGTTCTCGGTAATCCGACTCCAAAAACTAACAAGGCAGCAAAGAACAAACATGGAATAATTTCGGTTGGTAATTCATTTAATAAGTATGATAAATTGAATTCCAACGGGCCATATATTCCATCTTTGTATTCTTGGTAGAAAAGGCTTCTTTCTACTGGGTATAAGGTGACATTGTTAAAAAAACCAATAAAATATAAATTTAATACCTCTTGTATCAAACCCAACCTATTATTTACACCTTCTTCTGAATTTCTTAATGGCGCAAAAAATAATGTATGTACAATAGTCATGAATATAGTCTGCCCAGCTCTTGCGATCAATACGTCTTTAGACCTCACGGAATTGATAAATTGACGTTTAGTAATGACTGGAAAAGTCACAAAGAAAGGCTGCTTCGTATGTTGGTATTTCTCAAGATCGATTGTTTCATTAGCTAATACAGAATTTGTATCATTTGAAGAATGTTTCATTTCCCATCTATTAACCAAATAGTTAATTCTTGATTGAGTATCCGTATTATCTTCCTCCAAGCTTTGAGAAACTATATCTAAAATATGGTCAGCAATGTTCTTATCATTTGGTAATGGATATCCTGCATCAGTTAAATATTCCCTAATAGATTTTGTGCTCCCATTGAAGACAGGTCTGCCACCCCTAGCTAGTAATAAGACAGACCCAAATTTATTGAACATGTCTTCATTTGGTTGATGGATTGTCATAATTATAGTTGTGCCATAGACTTCAGCAAGATTATCCAATAAACCTAAAACGGCAACTGAAGTAGTTGAATCAAGACCTGAAGTAGGTTCATCCAAGAAAATAATCTTAGGTTTGCTTAACAATTGAATCGCAATCGAAACTCTTCTCTTTTCACCACCAGAAATACCCTTAACAGACTCCGATCCAATCAAAGTTTCTGCACAATCATTTAAACCCATAGTTCTAATCAATGTGTTAATAATTACTGGGATTTTATGGTGTTCTTCATGAGAAATTCTTAACTTTGCTTGATAATATAATGTCTCCCTAACTGTTAAACTAGATATTAAAGAATTATCCTGTTGAGAAACATATGCAGATATCAGAGATAATTCCTTATTCGTAATATATTGGGAATCGTTCAACTTGATGTATCCATTGGATTTAAATTTGGAATCTTTAGATAATCTGTTAGAAAGAAAATTCAATAATGTAGTTTTCCCTCCTCCAGAAGGTCCCATGATAACATTGACTTTATTGGCCTTAAAATGGGCGGAAACATTGTTCAATAATTGGTGCTCACCGCTTTTTTTCCTTATTATCATAAATTTGTTTTCTTGAAGTACAACGGACAAGCTAATATTCTGTATATAGATATGAATATCTTGTTCAGTCG